AAAAAAAAAAAAAAAAAAAAAAAAAAAAAAAAAAAAAAAAAAAAAACCACGACATCTCATTTACCTAACCACTTATCAAAACGTGTACATTTTGTTCACATAATACATGTTTTTAAAATAAAGCATCTAATGCTCAAACTTGGCAGGAAAATGAAGTAATATACTGGTAAAAAGTTAAAGAATATTCCTGATACTTAACGTATTATTCTGACAAAAGTTTACCTGATTATCATATTTGAGAGACTGTGTCCCAACCAAAAACCGAATTGCATCCGTTTCTGCTATCTGGGGTGTTAAAGCACGGGCCTAGCAAAAAAAGAAAACCATTATAAAAACACAATGCAATACATTATTAATAATTTGTGAAAATCTTGGAACATAAAAGACATCCCAGTTGATCACCTTAAGCACCAAACTTTTACACTACATCTTTCTCCTAAACTTTATCTATATTTAGGCTATTTACCTACATTTTTTAATGAAGGGATTGCTTCTCACATCTGTAAAGTACCTACATACTCTGGGTGCTAAATAAATGATGTGTCCATATTTATTTTAAAAACACACACACACACACACACACACAATTCAATGTTAAGGATTTCTCCCAAATTAATTCTTCTTAATGAACTCAGAATCATGAAACCTGGGAAGGAGGCAAAATCGACTTCAAAAATACTTAAGGCTGCTGCAATGACAAAGGGCATTCTTGAACAAATTATTCAAAATAAACATTTTACACCTTTAAGTAAGATTCCTGAACCCACACGGAAAGTCACCAATTCATAGAATCATAGAATATCTGGGTTGGAAGGGACCTCAGGAGGTCATCTAGTCCAACCCCCTGCTCAAAGCAGGACCAATCCCCAGACAGATTTTTGCCCCAGATCCCTAAATGGCCCCCTCAAAGATTGAGCTCACAACCCTGGGTTTAGCAGGCCAATGCTCAAACCACTGAGCTATCCCTGGGGTGCAGAGACTAGAGGCCAGGAGTCAGATCCCCAGGCCCCCCTTCTAGCCCCTAGGGAGACCCCCTTGCCATGATGCACTGGCCTTTCCTCCATCGGGGGTTTCCCCCATACCATTCTTTTCCCTACTATTCACAGGAAAGAGCAAGCTAGAAGGAAAGAAGTTCTTGGTCCACCTTGCTTTTCAACATTAAGCCACTAAAGCTAAGACCATATTAGAATGGCCATAATGGAAATGATCATCCTCTACTTACTCATAAAAAAGGCACAGTACTGGCAGTGATAATGCAGCCATTCCCACCCTACCCTGCCAATTGCCTCAACCCTGCCCTCAAAGGACCTCCTCTCAGTGGTAGAGGATATTTCAGTCTTTGGCCAGCTTGCTAAAGAGACCAATAAGATGCTGTAATAAAACCTCAGATAACTTTGGAATTCACATCCCTACTTGCTCTTAAATATCCCAAATCTGTAGACACTCCAAGCATGCTGCAAAGCCCATATTTTTAAGCAGGCATTTTGGAAGGACTGAGGTAGCTAGTAGCTCTGCCCACCTCCACTACACCCATTCTTTTTTGTCTGACATAGTTAAATGCTGGGGGATTAAGGTGCTGTTTTATTTACAATAGCCTTACTGATTAAGAATCTATTTTTAATTGATGATTAAGGTGGCTAGAACTTTGGAGAGACATGCTTTTAAGAGTGTTATTATTTTATCTATTTCATTTTAACCACAAGTTAATTACAGAATAGTATTTTGGAAAAACACCCTTAGATCTTCATTGAATAAAACAAGCTGTCTGACCATCTTTTAGGGGGTTATGATCAGATTGGACTTGGAGTTCAGAATTCATTCTGAAACACCACTGAACAGATAAACATTTCAGATGCTAGACTGAACACTGATTTAGATGAAAAACTACTTTTTCTACTTTAGATTTAAACCTGACATGGGAAACAAGTGAAATGAGTTTACTGGTCAAAAACTAGTACACTGTGAGCATTTAAACAGATCATAAAGTGAGTAGAAATTTTGATTCAACTGACAGTTTGTTCTCAGGACATGCTAAACTCTGAAATAATAGAAACGAATCACTATGGATTTACAATGTTACATCTATGCAATGAAACTTACATTACATCTACCTGCATTGGGTCTATACAGAGCTAATGTTACTAGTCTGTAGTGTTCAGTGACAGCAAGAAAGTTCACCAAAAAGCTTTTAATTTTTATATAAAATTTACAATGTGGATTTTTCCCTCAGCCATGGTGAGAACTTCTTTTCATTTCAAATCCCCTGCCAAGTTCTTTTCACGAAAGCACCACTAGAAACAACCCAGTCATTACAAATCTCCTTCAACCAAATAGACTTCAGTTGTTTAACAAGTGGAGTAGAACAAAACAACAACAAAAAAGATCTCCTGGGTCTTTCATGGAATAAAGAAATACTGGTAAGAACTTTGTTTCCTCATCTTTAAAGAGCCTCTTCTTAAAAGCAGTTTAGACTCAAGGTGCACTTTAAAATAAAATAAAAAGAGAGAATGTCACCATATGCTGACATTTGTCTATGTACAATCAACTTTTTCTTCTTCCTTCCCCCTCCAAAAAAATTAAAAATGGGAATTATATTTTCCCCCACTCTGCTGAAAATATTAAAAGTTTGGGTTGAATATCTGAAACTGTAATACATTTCAAAATAAAGAACTGACTTCCTACATGTTATCCTCATTCAAAGAATGAAAAATGCATCTGTGTTTATCAGATTTGTCAATAGGGGATTACCAGTATCTGAGACAGTTTGATTCTTAATAGAGATAATGGACCTTCAGATGGCCCATGCACAGGTATGCAAATCTGTTATTTTTTAATTGTGACTACTCAGGCAAGTTGATTCAGAGAAAGTCACAACAGCAAAACAGCTATTGGTGTGCAGAAATTTCTGCCTACCATGCTGTGACCAATATTGCCTCTTGTTTAATTGTACTTCCTTGTTTGTGTATATCCATCTGTTGTCTTCGGTCTTAGACTTAAATTGTAAGCTCCTTGGGGCAGGGACTGTCTTTTTGTTCTGTGTTTGTACAGCACCTAGCACAATGGGGTCCTGATCCATAATTAGGGCTCCTCAGTGCTATAGCAATATAAATAAATAAATAAATGATAATTTCAACAGGTGATAGAGGTACTTCAGATGGACAGGACATTTGCTTTGAGCATGTGGTCAATGTATAGGAGAGTTTGGCAACTGGTGGTCTAAGCTCCCCTTCCCTACCTTAATGATAAGCCTTGGTATTGAGTCACTGTGCACTGCTGCTGTCCTCCTCCACTTGAAGCATGCGCAGCCTAATTCACCAGAAAGCTTGAGATACAGAAAACCCCAGCCCCATAATCATAGCTGCAATTGAATAGGTATAGGTAGACCCTAGCTAATACTGAAACACAACGGTTATACTGAAAAGCATATGAACCACAGAGACATAATCTAGTCAAGTGAATAAAATGAATTGGCATTTTCATTTACTGCATCCTAAAGCAGTTTATAGAGCCATGAATTATATACCTGGAGAGGAATAACCATATGCATGCAAAAAAGGGTCTATAATGCATCATCTGTTTCCAAGGTAGTAAAACTATCATACTTTTAGTACCAGCAGTATGAGCTCTGAATCAATTTAAAACAACCCTTCCACCCCTCCACTACAGCAAAAAAGGAGACAAGTTATTACTTCAAGAAAACAAAGATTTGAGAGGTCACTGGGTATGGGGTGGTGGGCAGTGTGTGAAATCACTAAAAAGAGAAGTCTGACCTAAAAAGAGTTCTGTGTAAGTTCATCTCTCTCACCAACAGAAGTTGGTCCAATAAAAGATATTACCTAACCCATCTTGTCTTTCTACCAATGGGCCTTACTACATTAAACATTCCAGAACTCCTGTGCCAAAGTAGATGTGATGTTATCCAGTTATCAAGGAAAAGCTACTATTTGGGTAACTACATCTGACCCTGGCAGTTTCAGTCTGATTAAATTGAAACACAAATTTAAAAATTTATGTTTGCTAGTCACCAAAAGAGGATTCCCATAACCCTGGCAGGCAGTGGAGAAGAGACTTTTATCTCACCCTGGCTGGTCATGTGCAAATTAAGTATTGTATAGTTCACAATGGACACCCATTTACAGTAAGAGGAGCATTTAAAAAGACTTGGACAGTTCAACTTAAAAATGAGACAACTAAGGAAGGGTATGATAGAGGTTATAAAATCATGAATGGCATGGAGAAAGTCAATAAGGAGTGTCATTTACCCCTTCACATAACACAAGAACCAAAGTCACCCAATGAAATTAATAGGCAGCAGGTGTAAAACAAACACAAGGAAGTACTCCTGCACACAATGCATAGTCAACCTGTGGAACTTATTGCTGTGGAATGTTGTGAAGGCCAAAAGTGTAACAGGTTCAAAAAAGAACTAGGTAAGTTCATGGAGGATAGGTCCATCAATGGCTATTAGACAAGACAGTCAGGGATGCATCCCCGTGGTCTGGATGTCCTTAAATCTCGGACTGCCAGAAGCTGGGACTAGAGACAGAGGACGGATCACTTAATAATTTCTCTGTTATGTTCATTCCCTCTGATGCATCTGGCACCAGACACTGTCCGAAGACAGGGTAGTGGGCAAGATGAACCATTGTTCTGGCCCAGCATGGCCATATTTATGTTCTTAGAGTCTGAGCAAAATGTTAATCAATAGATTGTGAAGGCTGAAGGAAAAAACAAAAATAGCCTGGTTATCCTGCTTAGGAATAAGACAATGAACTTTTGAAACTGTATCTGGGGTGCAGATGAAAACTCGAAGTATTCCTTCAATTTCTGAGGACAAGCTGCCAACAAGCTTGATTTTATGAGTTGGTATCTCAGACAACCTGGTTGAAAATGCTGAGAAAAGGACGTGGGGCAAGCTGTTTTGTAGAAGATAGTGAAATGCCTTATTAGTTAAGCGTTAGAAAGTGTGTTATGATTTTGTTTCATATGTAACTATTTGTTTCCAATATTCTCTATCGCTTGTATCTCTGTTCTTCAATAATAAATGTATTATTGTTTTCATTATCTAAGTGCTGTATGTTAAGTAGAGTAGAGATACCAACAGGGCCGGCTCCAGGCACCAGCTGAGCAAGCTGGTGCTTGGGGCGGCAGATTGTTGGAGACGGCATTCTGCCCAATCCTAGGGCGGCACGGCCGCTTTTTTTTTTTCTGTTGTTGTTGTTGCGCTCCGGCCGCCCTGTAGGGGGCGGTGGGGCGGAGAACCAGAGCGCCCTGCAGGGCAGTCCTCTTCCTTCCCTCTCCCCGACCGGAGCGGAGCCCTCGCGGCAGCAGGCAGCACAGCGGGAGGGGCCGCGTGGCAGCGCCCCTGCTGTAGCCCTGGCCGCCCCCTTCTCTCTCTCTCCTGCCAGCTCCCTCCCCTTCCCCCTCCCCCCCAGCCGGTCCCCCTGCACCCGCGCTTGGGCCGTGCCGCAGGTTTTTTGGTTTTTTTTTGCTTGGGGCGGCCAAAAAGCCAGAGCCGGCCCTGGATACTGAGTTCCATCTTACAAGCTGGTGTGTACTATTCCTTGAGGAACAGTGGATCTAAGGCCTGGTCTACACTATGACTTTAATTCGGATTTAGCAGCGTTAAATTGAATTAACCCTGCACCCGTCCACACAACGAAACCATTTATTTCGAAATAAAGGGCTCTTAAAATCGATTTCTGTACTCCTCCCCGACAAGCGGAGTAGCGCCAAAATCGATATTGTTATTTCGAATTAGGGTTAGTGTGGCCGCAATTCGATGGTATTGGCCTCCGGGAGCTGTCCCAGAGTGCACCATTGTGACCGCTCTGGACAGCAATCTGAACTCGGATGCACTGGCCAGGTAGGCAGGAAAAGCCCCACAAACATTTGAATTTCATTTCCTGTTTGCCCAGCGTGGAGAGCACAGGTGACCACAGATAGCTCAGCTCATCAGCACAGGTAACCATGCAGGCCGATAATCAAAAAAGAGCACCAGCATGGACCGTACGGGAGGTACTGGATCTGATCGCTATATGGGGAGAGGATTCAGTGCTAGCAGAACTTCGTTCGAAAAGACAAAATGCCAAAACTTTTGAAAAAATCTCCAAGGGCATGATGGAGAGAGGCCACAATAGGGACTCAGAGCAGTGCCACATGAAAGTCAAGGAGCTCAGATAACCCTATCAAAAAACAAAGGAGGCAAACGGTTGCTCCGGGTCAGAGCCGCAGACATGCCGCTTCTACGCCGAGCTGCATGCAGTTCTAGGGGGGGCTGCCACCACTACCCCACCTCTGACCGTGGATTCCGAGGCGGGGATAATCTCATCAGCTACACCTGAGGATTCTGCGGATGGGGAAGAGGAGGAGGAGGAGGAGGAGGACGAGCTGGCGGAGAGCACCCAGCACTCCGTTCTCCCCAACAGCCAGGATCTTTTTCTCAGCCTGACTGAAGTACCCTCCCAAGCCAGTATCCAAGACCATGACCCCATGGAAGGGACCTCAGGTGAGTTTACCTTTTAAAATATAAAACTTGTTTTAAAAGTAAGCGTTTTTTAATGATTACTTTGCCCTGAGGACTTGGGATGCATTCGCGGCCAGTACAACTACTGGAAAAGTCTGTTAACGTGTCTGGGGATGGAGTGGAAATTCTCCAGGGACATCTCCATGAAGCTCTCCTGGAGGTACTCCAAAAGTCTTGCCACAAGGTTTCTGGGCAGTGCAGCCTTATTCCGTCCTCCATGGTAGGACACTTGACCACGCCATGCTTGCAGCAAGTAATCTGGTATCATTGCCTGACAAAGCCTGGCAGCGTATGGTCCCGGTGTTTGCTGGCATTCAAGCAACATCCGTTCTTTATCTCGCTGTGTAATCCTCAGGAGAGTGATATCGCTCATGGTAACCTGGTTGAAATACGGGAATTTAATTAAGGGGACAGAGGTGGCCGTTCCTACTGGGCTGTTTGCCTGTGGCTGAAAAGAAATCCTTCCCTGAAGTTAGCCAAGCACGGGGCGGGGGGGGAATTGGCCCTGAGCTTTTCGCATCTGGCTAGCAGGGATCTTCCCTGTTACCAGCCACGCGGTGGGGGGAGGGGTACAGCGATCATCCCAGATAA